CTTGGCATTAAAATTTTACTTCTTTCTACTATATGATGGTTAGAGCATAGGCTCTGGAAAAAGGGAAACCTGACTCCAGTGTATGCTAGCTGAATGACCTTGGCAAGGTCTTAGCTTACTCACCTGTAACACAGAGCTAATCATAAGGACTACCTCATTGGATTGTGGAGAGCAGTGCATGACTCAATAGTTGTAAAGTTTTCAAAACCATATTTGGCCCTTAGACTATCAGAGTTTAACATATAAATACACTTGTCTTTCAAAAGCTGAAATTCTTGAGTTTAGATGCTATGCCTTGTTTAGCTCCCCCACACACCAATTTCTAAATAGAAATGTCTCCTCCTCACTAGTGCTATTTCTGGTTCAGCTGTCTCCCCCCACATTCCCTAACTATTCTTGGATCCTACCTGCCTACTGAGCTCCCTCAAACACTAGTGCTTCTGAGAATAGCTTGACAAAGTTTGAGCCATCGTCCTATCCTTTTTCTCTTCCTGAAGATGCCCAGCCTTCTTTACAGTGAATTTAGAAAGTCTGTGACTCTGCTGCTTCTTGAAAATTGTGGTAAGATATCATTCCCATGACTAATGTCCCTTAAGATGATCTCACGGCTTCCTTTGGCACTGGGACCAGTGGAGAGAGTGCATCCAATATGAGGCCCATGTAAATCACATGGCCTTAGTTAACCACACAGACACAAGCAATTATAAATCTACCTTCATCCTATTTGACACTCTTCTAAGTCCCAGATACTTCTGACTAACTGCCTTCTGAATGTTTCTATCACAAACTGAGCTTGTTCAAATAGGGACTTATTGGAATCTAGCAAATCTTTGCTTCTTCTGTTCCATATCTGAAATTGGTGCAAACATTCACTAGCCACCCAGGTAAAAACCTGAAAGTCATTCTGGACACTTTCCTCTCACCACCCTCATCAAATGCCAGCCAAAATCTATGACGTCCATTTCCTCAGTGGCTCTTAAACCCACTCTGCCTCTAACTGTTTAACTGTACTCCCTGTCACCAGTGATGCTCTCTCATTCACTCTTCCCCCTGCTCACAGACAAACCTGACTTGCTTAAAATTCTTCAAGAGCACCTTGTAGTTTTCAGGGGAAAAATTCATGTCCATAATTTTGGCCCCAAAGCCTTATGTAACCTAACTACCTATGTGAGTACAACAGAGAACCCAAAGGTGTTTTTGTCAAAAACAAGTTTCGCCCATATCTGTTCAGGATTCAGCCCTCTCTCACCTGCTGACTCCTCAGGTGTTCCCACTTTTTTCTTGCATTCTCAGTCCCCCCATCTCCACTGCCTCATTCCCATTAGCCTATAAACTCAATTTCTCCCCATCTTTGTCTTTTTTTAAATTTTACCTTGTCCAGCTACAGCTATTGTTGCTTTCCTTTGTAAACAAGTTTGCCAGCAGATCTGTATGATGCTTGTGTCCAGTGGTTTGTCTGTGTTCACTCTGCCTTATGCCCATCTGCCTCTGTCTGACTCAGAGCCATCAGCAGACACCATGTGCCAAACAAACATGGTTCATTGCCAGCTCACTCTCATTCTCTTCATTCAACATGCTCACTCCTCCCAGAAACAATCTTTCTTTGTTTTGTTGACTTTGAAGAAAACTAAAAAGTGCATCTCCCACCCCATTTCTCCTTTCACAGGCCACACTAGCTTTACCCAGCACCCAAGCTAATCCTATCTACCCCCTATTGTGGTTTTAAATACAGTTCCAACCACATGGTCTTAGCTTCCTAATTTACTCATGTTTTGCTGTGTATAATGATCACTTTTTGCCCAAATTTTTTAAGGAAAAATAAAGAAAAAATTAGTACTGAAACATGGGTGTGCATTTTCTATGGGAATGCATTACACATGACAAAATATGGTATATTTCCAATCTAGACTTGTCTTCTGAGTTCTAATCATAATACACTTGCCACTCAACATCTCTATTTGGATTTGCTATGAGCATTTAGAATTGATCCTGTCCTAGCTGACTTCTATCACTCTGCACTCCCAGAACTTAGGCTGGCCCATCCACATGCAGACATAGACAGATATGCGTACACATACGCATGTTCACACACATAAACATATGTGCACACACATAGCTGATCTTCCTCCAAATCCCCTATGTCAGCTACTATATACCCACCTACTATTTGTTCCTGCTAGGAACCTTGGAGTTCACCTTTACAGGCCCTTTCCCCAACCCCCATTCCCCCATCACCAAGCCCTTTGGATCTATTCCCCAAATATATTTTGAATGCACCTACTCTTTCCCTTCTTGGCTTGTGACCAGCTTTATCCAAGCCACATTGTCCCTAGTCTCGACCTCTGCAACATCCTCTTACATGAACTTCTCACTTATTTTTTCTGTTGTTATTGTACCAATTCATACTTCACATGCAACCAGAATGACCTTTTTGAAACATAAATTGGATCATGCCTCTTCTCTTCTTAAAACCCCCTGTACCTAGAATAAGGCATACACTATGCCAGCAGGATTTGAAAAAGTGACAAAGCTAAAACCTCAAAGATGAACAAGGGAATCAGCCAGAAGAGTGGCAGAGAAGGGTTGTGCCCCAGTTAGAGGACACAGCAAGTACAAAAGGCCCTGAGGCCTTTCCAACTTTCCAACTTTCATACCTTGAAAGCTTGGAGCATTTAAGAAGGCCAGTGGGACTGAAATAAAGCAGCAAGTGCCAAGACATGGTGATGGAGAAATTAGCAAAAGCTGGGCCATACAGGGTCTTATGTCATGAAATGGGCACTTTTATAATTGTTTCTAATTTTACATGTATAACATATATATTATACACTTATACACACACATTTTATTCTTGCCCACTGGCCATAAGATCCACAGAGAAACATCCATGCCTGTTTTGTTCAGTTTATTCCTATGTGCAGTATAGTACCTGTCACATAGTGGGTGCTAAATCTTGATGGAGTATAAGGAAGAAAAATATCTTCAGCATTCTAGCCAGGCCAAGCAGCTGGCAATTGCCCAAATACATTGTGCCATTCTCTCTTCTAACAGCCTCATTTTTATCTAGCTCAGTGATTCTCAACTTAGGGGCAATATTGCCTCCAGGGAACATTTGTTAATATTTGGAAACATTTTTGATTGTCACAATTATAGGGGAGGAGTGACTCAGACACCAGCCTGCAGTGTCTGTGTCATTATGGATGAGATACGAGACAAATTCACATGGACTACCGAGTCTTGTGGAGGAAAAGGGATGGCACGACTACTCTCTCAAGGGGGAGTGTGTCTTGGAGTGACCAGGCAACTCTCTCAAGAGGAGAGAACCCCAATCCTTGCTTTGACAGGTTTTTATTGGCTTTCAATTTGCACAGAAATACAGGTAAAGTTCATTAATCATTGTCAGGCAGTAAGGATCAAATAATAGATAGCATACAAAGAACTACAAGGGTCTATTCTGAATCAGGGTCTGTTAGCTAAAGGGCTACAAAACTCTGGGAAGCAAACTCATTTCCTGCTCAGACCCTTATCATATAATTGAGAGCATTCTTAGCGAAGCAGTTTTCACAGGAGTTTATGTATTCTTTCTCAGGCTTAACCCGCTGGGGAACCTGCCCTTTCCAACACAGGGCTGCACTGCCCTCTGTCATTTTTTCAGGCTTAAGTCAGGCAGGGGAAGTCAGGCAGCCAAGAGATTAGGAGACTTCTTGTAGGCAGAATGAGGACTCAGGCTGTCAAAGCTGAGGGGTGAGGGTCCATCACCCCCTTTCTCCATAGCTCCCAAGTCCTTCCCTGGGGCCTCCACGTGATCATGCCTGTCTTAGATCATTCCCCTCTTGGGGAATCTTACCCGTCATTGGCTAACTAATAGAGCATTGGGGGCCAGGCAGGGTGAAGAAAAAGGAGCAGAAGTGGTGCCCCTGACAGGAAGATAAGCTTTGTCTCCTTAGTGGCTTATGGTCCGAAGATCAGTCACTCAGCTTTAGCCATGGGGAGGTTACAGCTTCTGAAACCAGGCAGGGTGGTTTCCAACAGAGGAGGTTTTATTGGCATCTGGTGATTAGAGGCTAAGGATGCTACTAAACATCCTACAGTGGACAGGACAGCCCCTGGACCCCAACAAATTCAGCCTAAAATATCAACAGTGCTAAGGTTGAGAACCCTTGATCTTGCTAATTCTACCTGTCCTCCAAGCCTATGTGAAAGTTTTCCTTCCTCATTAACCAGCATGAGATTGCTCTCTGCCATGCTCCCCAAACCTCCTTTATGTCATTCCTCCCCTTGTCTTGCAATTCCCTGTTCTCTCTGCCTCTCACTGGAAGGTTAGGGTATATGTTGGGTCATCCATGCATTTTCCTAAATGAATGCAGCCCCCTTAGCTGGTACTGAATAAGAAATTGAAGACAAATTTTGTAGCAACATTTTAAAACATATAGTTGACATACCCAAACTCATGGGTCTGCAGGACTCAGCCATCCCCCATCTCTGCCTGTCAGAAGCTGCCTGTTTCTAGGTGTCTGTGGTAGTGTATAACTGACAGAAATGGCGATTTCCTATAGGTCCAATCTACTAACATGGTGTACTCAATTAGTCATTGCCTTACATTTTGAGTTATTCAGGTTTAATCCCACTAAAATATGACATAGAACTAGGACATAAGATGGGCTCCTAACAATGAGTAAAATAGAGCCAAAGCTTCTTTAGCAGTTGGCTCTCCCATGAGTCATGACCTGCTTGATCCACCAGCAAAAATAGAAATCCCCATAGCCACACAGCTGTGGCCTTCAGATCTTGCACCTGCCATCAGAAACACCTGAAGCCCTCTCTTTGGATTCAGGCTACGAAATGCTCTGTCTGTTGGAAGGTTCCATCTCCTTGTCTTCTCATGGCCCTTGCAGCTCTATGGCTCAGCTTGTTCCTTCCTTTCCATGTTCATCCTTTCTCCCTGCCTGGTGGCCTTGATCCTACTGGCTGAGATATAGGAGGTGAGGGCAGGGCTGGGCACATCACTCCAGCTCATTGCTTCCGCAACTGCTGTGAAAGTGCCTGCTGTGGGGCCTTGGACTTTCACTTCTGTCTGAAGGGCTCTGTTCCTCTTTCTTCTGCTCTTTGCCCTGCACTCAGCTTCTCTCCAGGATCTCCTCAAAAACTATCTGCAGCCAAAACCCTCTTGGCTGCCATACTGGGCCTGCTCTAGCAGCACCTCCAATATGGGGAAGCCCAGGCAACAGGCCACACAGCTCTTGTAGGCAGCTCTCTGAAGGCCCAGTGGTTTCAGGTCATCCTGTTCTGGATAGCAGTTGTTTTTGCTGGTTTCCAGGTCCCAGCACAGGTCAGTGTTGGAAATCATCTCAAAGGAAAAGCTTTTCCTGCTCTACTTCTTGATGAACTAGGCTTCATGGATGCAGGGCTTCCTAATGACCAGCTGGAAGATGGCCTCAGTCTCCCAGGTCATGGCCATGCTCTGCAAAGTCTGCAAGTGGATGTAGAAGGCACTCACATTTTGCTGAGTGGAATCCTTATCACCCTATAGGCAAGAATGGCAGCACTGATATTGAGAGTAGGACTGCGATGATGGGGGCTGCTCTGATCAGCATCCCCTGGGCCCTGGAGGCAAAATAGATGTCCTCCTGGTGGGGAATGGCTGGTCTTGGCTGCAGAGATGATACCTCCATCTTTACAGTCCCTGAGAGGTAGGGGAGATTTCATCAATGTTTCCAAGGGATCAGCGCCTAACCCACCTTCAGGACTCTGAAAGGGTGCTGGCCCCAGGGGCCCTTTGGCAGGTACTATCACCTCCCTGTGCCCACTTCCTCATAAAATAGGAATAATAACAATTCTGACCTCATGGGGCAATGATAGAGATCAAATAATATAGAGACAGGTGTATGTGTTAAGTTAAATGATGATAAAGATCAAATACTGTATGAATGCGATCACCAAAAATGAGCAAACCCCCAAAGGCCATCAACTGGTGAATACACAGATTGTGGTACATCCATATAATGCAACCTTATTCATTGATAAAAAGGAATGAACTACTGATACATGTGAACCTCAATGAATCAGTGCTTCATTCTTTTTATCAATGAATAAAATTGCATGGTATAGATGTACCACAATTCTGCTCAATGAAAGCAACCAGAGTGAAAAAGCCATGTAGTATATGATACCACTGAGATGACATTCTAGAAAATGGAAAAACTATGAGGGAAAACAGATCAGGGGTTACCAGTAGCTGGGGACAGCAGCGGAACTATCAAGTGTCACAAGGGAATTTTAGGGGATGATGAAAATGCTCTATATCATGGTAACAGTTACACAAATGTGCATATGTCAAAATTCTTCAGATTGTATACTTAAAATTAGTGAGATTTGCATATGTAAATTACAGCTCAATAAAAGCAATTATAAAAGTCAGGCATGTGAAGTGCTTTGGCCAGGACATCAAGCCCCAACTTCCCCTTTGGCATTGGTGATGTGTCTCCATCTTATCCCAGGGAGCGCCTTGCCTTTTCCTTGAACACTCATTGTATCCCCATTACCATGTAAGTGTGTGCCATATTTTTAACTCCTTTAATACCCCCAAATCCTAAGAAATTGCATTGTTAGATTCCCATTTGACAGATAGGGAATTGTGACACAGAATACCTATTTATTTATTTTTATTTTACTTTATTTTTTAATTGAAATTATTGGCATGGCATTGGTTCACAAAACCATATAGGTTTCAAGTGTACATTTCAATAAAACATTATCTTCACACTGAGTCACCTGCTGACCACTCCAAGTGAAGTCTCTTTCCACCACCATTTTCCCCTCTTTGTCCACCTCCAAATGTTCTAGATTAATCTAGATGTTCTAGATTAACTTTAACAATTTATTATATTGTAAAGGTATTTTTATATCCCTGCTGTAATCACAGCATCAACATGACAGTTTTTTTCCAATGCACATTGAAACACAATGATTAACATTTTATATCTTCATCCTCATATATTCTGAAATCACCTCATGTACTTACAACATTGGCCTCAGTCATACCCACCATCCATTTTCATGGCCAATACAACAATTTCGTAGCAGCTGCAAGGGGTGACCTGGTTCCCACCCTTCCCCCTTCAAGACCTCCCTCCTGGACCTCCCTCCCAGGAAACACCCAGGGTTGCAATCTCCAGCTCTTTCTTTCAATCTACCTGGCTAGCATACCTCCACACTTTCTTCTGTGGACTCTGGGCTGGCCAAGCCCCGGGTGGCACCATCTGTTGGTGACTGTTTTCCCCTATGGTCCATGAAGTGGCATTTCATACTTGACATTGGACACAGGGTGTTCAGTGTTTCAGCTGTTTATTGAGAGTCAACTTGGGCTGTGCTTAGCCCTCTACTGGCTCAAGCCTGAGTGATAACTGGGGCTTCAGAGATCACTAGGATCCTGGCTTTATTCTTTGACCCAGACAGACAAAGAATAGACCCAGAGACAGAGACCCATAGACCCAAAGAATGGCAAAGACAGAGACCCAGCCAGAATGCCAGGAGAAGCTTCTCACCAGGACTTCATTTCCCTTTAGGACATACAACACATAAAGGTGCAAACACATACACTATATATATCTACCTAGACAATTATACACATATAAGCACACATATACTCATGCCAACACACACATACATAATCAGATACACACTCAAACATATATAAACACACACAGTTAAACACATATTCCCTCAACCACTCACATACATTTACACACATATGTGTAAAAACTCACACCAGATTTACATACACTCTATATATACTCTCATCCCCCAACATCAAAATGGGCCTATTTTGTACTAGGGAAACAGTGTGCAACCAAAAATCTTCTCCATTATCCCACAGTTCCCTCCCCAGGCTCATTTAATCCTTTTGGCCTCCAATAGCCTGGGTCTCTCTATCAGGTCTTCCTAGATGCTCACCCTCACTCAACTCCTAGGACTCAGACACACCAGGAATATTCCACCTGGGGCTTTGCACTTGCCCTTCCTTCTGCCAAGAGCACCCTCTCCTAGGGTCCCTGGGGTTCACTGTCTTACTGAAACAGTCTCTAATGAAACAGTACTTTTTTAGAGCAACCTGCCTAGACACCTTAAACAAGATGTTTTATTTCTATAGCAGCATTAATTACCCTCAGATGTGTGTATCTGCATAATGGGCTTATCAATGTAAGCTCCATATGGGGACTTCATTCATTTTCTCAGTTATATCCCTAACATCTAAAATAGCATTTGACACATTAATAAGCACTCTAGAAATAATTGTCAACTTAATGAACAAATAAACGGAAAATACTTTTGGAGCTGCTGAGAAGGGCATACTCGCCTAGCTGCATCACCTTTTCTCTGCACCTCAGAATTCAGCAGACCCTGGTTGGCTGGTTCTCACCCCACAACTCTGTGATTCCCCTCCTCTTTCTCTACCCGCACAAACCTCACTCCAGAAACATCCCTCTGGCATACCTTGCCACCTGCCATTTCTTTCTGCTCCAGGATGTCCCAGTGTTTAAACAGTTCAAAATGGTGATGGAAAAAAAGTTATTCCAAAAGTATCCCTCAAAACACCCCACAGAAAACACCTAGGAATATACTCTTCTCCAGAATGAGAAGCCACTATATGGAGATAAATCCCACAAAGCTTTACAGTGTAATGAAATTCACAGTTGCACCAGCAAAGACAGTGTTCCTTTATGAGAAGAGAAGATATTACAAATGTCTTCTTTCCCACCAAATAAATTGAGATACTTGCTTTATGAAAACAAGGGGACAATAGAACAAAAAAAATAAATAAATCAATGGAAGATAAAGGTAGCCCAGGAAAAAATCACATTATATATTCAAATATTTAAGGTATAAGGTAAACAAAACTCTGGAGGAAAAGAAAACCCAGTCAATAAACAACAGTGAAAAAATTTTATTCACTATTTTTTAAAAATCAACTTTGGTCTCATATCTGTGAAACGACTAAGAATATTTTTATATTGTTCAGGATTATGTTTTAATTAAAAGTATTTATGGAAATGTAAATAATATTATAAATGCAGTACTTTATTTTTTAATAAATAGCAATAATATATTTATACTTTTAAAACAAATATAAATCAATAACAATCTAGAAGATCACTGGAGTATCAATTTAAATTCCTTCCAGCAATGGATGAAAGTTCTGGTTTCTCTCACACTTAATATTATTGTTCTTTTTTATTTTAGCCATTCTAGTGGGTATCTCTTCTGTTATTGTTTTAATATGCTTTGATTTGATGACTAATAATTTTCAGCACCTTTTAATATATTTATCAGCCATATGAATGTCCTTTTTCATCCAGTGTTTGTTTAAGTGTTTTGCTCATTTTTCCATTACAATGCCTACCTTTTTGCATTAATTTTCAGTTCTTTCTATATTCCAGAGATGAAGGTATATATGCATTTTAATTTTTTTAATACTTTTGATTTTTATTGTTGTTCAAGTAATTTTCTGCCTTTTCCCCCTATGCCTCCCTACCACCCCAGCCTTCCCCACCTTCCTCCCCTGTTTCCTCCCCCCACCCCCATTATTGTCCATGTGTCTTTTATAGTTGTTCCTGTAAACTATTCACCCTTTACCCCTATTATGCCCTCCCATCTCCCTTCGGGTTACTGTCAGCTTGTTCCCAATTTCAATGTCTTTGGTTGTATTTTGCTTGCTTATTTGTTTTGTTGATTGCTTTCTATTTAAAGGTGAGATCATAACGTATTTGTCTTTCACTGCCTGTCTTATTTCACTTAGCATAATGCTCTCCAGTTCTAGTCATGCTGTCACAGAGCATAGGAGCTCCTTTCTTTCTGCTGTGTAGTATTCCATTGTATGTACGTACCATACTTTTTTGATCCATTCATTTACTGAACGGCACTTAGGTTGCTTCTAGCACTTGGCTATTATGAATTGTGCTGCTATGAACATTGGGGTACCTAGGGTTTTTTGGATTGGTGTTTTAAGGTTCTTAGGATATAATCCTAGCAGTGGAATTGCCGGGTCAAAATACAGTTCCATTTTCAGTTTCCTGAGGAAATCCCATACTGTTTTCCTAGTGGTTACACCCATCTGCAATCCCACCAACAGTGCACTAGGGTTCCCTTTTCTCCACAACCTCTCCAACACTTGTTGTTTGTTGATTTGTTTATGATGGCCATAAACACCACCGGTGTGAAGTGGTATCTCATTGTAGTTTTAATTTGCAGCTCTCTGATGGCTAGTTATACTGAGCATCTTTTCATGTTTCTCTGGACCCTCTGTATGTTCTCCTTGGAGAAGTATCTGTTCAAGTCTTTTGCCCATTTTTTAATTGGGTTGCTTGTCTTCTTAGAGTGGAGTCATGTGAGTTCTTTATATATTTTGGAAATCAAACCTTTGTCTGAGGTATCATTGGCAAATATGTTTTCCCATATAATTGGTTCTGTTTTCATTTCAATGCTGTTTTCTTTAGCCATGCAGAAGCTTTTTATTTTGATGAGATTACATTTGTTTATTCTTTCCTTCATGTCCCTTGTTCTAGGGGACATATCAGTGAAAATATTGCTACGTGGAATATCTGAGATTTTCCTGCCTATATTCTCCTGAAAGACTTCTATGGTGTCACAACTTATATTTAAGTCTTTTATCATC